AACGTACGAGTATCAACAACAACAACTTCCGAAAGGAGGTGTCGAGAAGCATTGTCTGACAACTTGCGACAACTTGCGAATTTTCTTCTCGTCTCCAATTTCGACAGGCTGTGTGGCCAAGAGAGAAACTATCGGAAGTCGTGTTTTGGACAGTGGTGTGGCGTTTCGTTGCTGCAGGTTCTCAACTTCGGACGACGATGAGAGTACGAGTCCGTACTCGTACGAGGGTGCGTACAAGTGGCAACGTAGAGGGATACTAAAGACAAGGTTCAATTGAACTTCTTCAGGAAGGCGTATGGGCATGGGGGGGTACGATCATTAACAAGAAAATCATCACACCTCCATAGATCAGGTCAATCAGGGGAGATTCGATCGGGTTATGGTATACATACAACAGGTCAATCCAGGGCGCGTTCTGTCTCCAATTTGGGTGGGAGGGAGGGGAACGGAAAAAACGAATTTCATTACAGCGAGAAGATCCCACTCAGTTGAATCCAGAAGTATCCAAAAGTTTCACTAAAATGATTCTCAAGAGAAACAACTATTCTCACGGTAAAGAGTAGACGAGAACTGATTCAATCAACACGGATGAAAAAAGGAATTCCCACTAAAGCGAGAAGATATCATTCAACCGAATCCAAGCATATTTCATAGTTTACCAAGATGATCGTAAAAAACCACAATCCCTAATATCAACCAGATGAACCGATGCCCAATCCACGGGTTTCGAGATTAGGCTAGGCAAAACGTCTGGGAATAATAACGATGGGAGCTCGGTCGAACTTCATGGAAGGAATAACGCCGTAGGAGGGGTGTGGCTCCCCTAAAAGCCTTTTTGCCCGTTGCCACTCAACCGGCTCATCAAAGGGGTTATAAACCTGCAAAACAGCACATCCATTTCACATTCCAACACAGACAGCCATATCCCTTTCCACACACACACAGAGGAGATTGAGGACCATATACCGCTTCTTCCGCCGCGATATCCTCCTCAGGTTCCGGCGTGATTGGTAGGTCCTCCTCCGCTCCAGTTGTGAACTCCCAGTCTGCCATAGTCGAAGCCTCCGCCCGTTTCCAAGGTCCTGGTCCACCGTAGTTGCACTACGATAGATTTCGTATGATGCACCTAACCTATTCAGTTCTCGCACTTCAGGGATCCGTACATCAAGCGCTTGGTACTCACCAGGGATAATGATCGCTATATATACTCAAGGGAAGACCTAACAGGGTACAGTGTGCCAGGGGAGGGAGATCAGTCGCATATCCGTGGTCATAAGCATACCCCCAACATCAATAGTACCTGTGCGGCGGGTGTGTATCGTCGAGCTCCCCTGCCGAGGCATGATGGAATCAAAACCTATCCTAATCCATCTCTTCCTGGGGATCGCTAGGATCGCTAGTTAGTCGTCGAAGATACGGGAGATATCTTCGCGCCCTGGGTGACACCTAGTGGAGGGTTCCGTCAGTGCTTAAAGCTGAAAAACAACAACGGAGGAAAAGACAACAAAGGAGGAAAAGACAAAGGAGGAAAGGACAAAGGGGAAGAACCAGAAAAAATGAAAAAACGAAATGGGTTATCACTGAGTCCCTCGAGAAGTATCCAAGGTGGCTTGGGGTGATTGCCAGTCCGATCGATACATCCCGGGCTCAAGGCCCATTTCTCTAGTGAAAAGCAGGTCTCAATCTATTCCACCCGTGGTTCCCGAGCTTGTGACTCCTTGCTTAAGTGGGAGGCAGGTATTTCCGTTCATTTGTTTTACCTGTGACTGTCCCTTGATTGAGTTCTCCTGATTTTAAAAGGGATCCGCCCCGATATCCCATGATTGGGAGATATCGAAGGGTGATGAGGTACCCTCCTGCTTGGTCCGTAGGTCCAAGGCTCAGGGCTCGTCGTTTTTCTCAGTGAGGGGTGGGTTCAGGGGAATTTGGTCGGTTGCTTTCCACTCCCGTTCACTGGGGAGTTATAGACCTGTCTCTTATACACATCTAGATGTGTATAAGAGACAGGATCGATACATCCCGGGCTCAAGGCCCATTTCTCCAGTGAAAAGCAGGTCTCAATCTATTCCACCCGTGGTTCCCGTGCTTGTGACTCCTTGTTTAAGTGGGAGGCAGGTATTTCCGTTCATTTGTTTTACCTGTGACTGTCCCTTGATTGAGTTCTCCTGATTTTAAAAGGGATCCGCCCCGATATCCCATGATTGGGAGATATCGAAGGGTGATGAGGTACCCTCCTGCTTGGTCCGTAGGTCCAAGGCTCGAGGCTCGTCGTTTTTCTCAGTGAGGGGTGGGTTCAGGGGAATTTGGTCGGTTGTTTTCCACTCCCGTTCACTAGGGAGTTATAGACGGGTGGGTCTGTGGGCTTGTGCCTACTTGTTTTGCCAGTTCCTGGTTCGAGCTTGGTTAAAGAGTGGGGTTCCCCATTTTGGGGTATTAGTCTGCTCAAGGTAGGTTTATAATCTTACCTGGGTCTGCATGTTTCCGGGGCTTCCTTCCGAGACTCCTCCTACCACTTTGTCCTTCGAGGGGTGGTCCCTAAATTCCTGTGTATATGTGTGTGTGTGTGTGTGTGTGTGTGTGTGTGTGTGTGTGTCCCTCCCACTAACCCCTGCAAGGGGGTCCTGGTTGGGACAGGTACCTGCAAGGGTACCTGTCCCTTACAGACCCCTTGCAAATACCACCCTGGTCCGCCTTTCAGAGGATCCAGGGCCACATCACACACAGACAGACACACTGCAATCACATAACACAACGGCAGTTAATAATTCATTCCGAACGGGGATCGAAGAGTGTGGTAGACTTTCTCCGCCGCGCATCTGAACGGTTGGTATCGTTAAGGGTTCCTTAGTACCCTCCTCACCATCCCCCAGCATCTTTTCTCTTTGAACCCATTCTGGCTCATTCTTTCCACAATCTTTCTAATATCCCGTGCGGCTGTGGTGGGATTCGATGAGACAATGAGCACAGCTGCTACCTGTCCAAGGATGATTGATAACGACTGCTTGATTGGTCTGTTAGACTCAAACCTGATGTACCTGCTCACTTCCAATCCCATTTCTTCCACCTTATCAAACTTCTTCGTGCTGTATGCGCCCTTCGTTGACTCTATTCTCAGTTTAAGATTCAGGAATGTGCCAGTTTGGTCATCGATGTTCTGTTCCTTAATCTCGATGAATTCAGAGGGGTACAGCCAGATAGGGTCATTCTTATAGAGAAGGCGACCCTCCATAAGAAACTCACGAATGCTGGCGTTATTGATGGCATTCAAATCATCCATGTACCTGAATGTATGTGAAAATAGTGCGATTAGGTGTTTGTTCCCAGTTTTCAGCAGTCTCATCATGCATTCAAATTCATATCGAAAAAAGTACAAGTTGCACGAGATCGGAGAACTAGGCAGCCCCATCGGGATGCCGTTGCTCTGTCACCAGATTCTCCCTCCAAATTGAATATAGTTCCTGCTTGCCAGCCATTGGTTCATTTCAATGAGCTGTTTTAGTTCAATTGTTCTATCATCCAGTTTTTGGACATCCGAGTTCGTCCACCCATACTTAGTTCCGCCACCATTTGTTGTGGTAATCCTGATGTATTTATCCCCTTCTGTTTTCAATCTGTATGCAAAACCCTTTCTGATTGCAAACGAGAGTGCAGAGATCAACCCATGCTTCGAGTTATCCGTCGGGATTGTCTCAAAGCATCGGCTAACGTCCGCTGAGAAGTACGTGAAGATCGTTCTTGGTAGGTTTTAAACATATTCATTGATCTTTTGAAGTTAGTCATGAGGTATGGGACGTTATTCGGCCCAAGAGGGTAACCTGATGTATTGTCATTGCTTATAGTTTTAATTATCTCCTCCGGCTTATGCTCAAGTTTCTCGAAATCAGGTTCAGATAGTCTCTCGAATGCTAGCTGCCTTACAAGATCCTTACATATGATCACTGGGGTATTCACAACTTTATTTATGCTGGCAACAAAAAAATTCCTGGTGATATACGATATCTCATGCAAGAGGTAATGCTCACTGAGGTCAATGACTCCTGCCTCACTTTGCCTCCTTTTGTATTCCACAAACCTACCAAAGCAGTACTGCTTGATACCGAACCTACCCCTGCAGAAGTCTTCCTCTTGGAGCTCATAATCCTTGCTATATAGTGTCATTATTCCATCGAAAGTTTTCAGGGTTTCCGTCACCGCTACCTCGATCTCTAGTCTACTGGCGGGAATATGGTTGAGGCCAAAGTGCAGGATCACTCTGAGTTGGGGTAGACGGGAGATAGTGTAATCCTTGGTGATCACGTGATGCCAGGGGTATCCCCAATCCTCCCAGATTCAAGCAGTCCCTCAATAGCTGGATTAGGAAACCGAGTATACCTACTGCTACAGGGACAACCACCCTTGCTACCCTCCCATTGGTCCAGATCGAAGTCCCGAAAGACCTCCGCGGGTTTGTGAAGTACCCCGGAGATTGGTTCATTGTAGGTCCAGCCGAGAGTGACGGTCTCCATCCATTCAGCAAAGTGTCGTCCAATAATAGCCGTCATCAACGAAATGATCAATGCTCTGGCTGAGACCGCCTCCATCAGTCTACTCACATATCTCATGTGCACAAACTTTCTCTGTGGCTCATCCTCCCCCTTGTACCACTTCCGTCTACCTGAGGGTCCAATCTCGATTCGACCCATGCGTCCCTGCAATCAAGGCGAAGAAAGCAAAAGAAATCAAAAAGAAAGCAAAAGAAAACAAACAAAAGAAAGCAAAAACAAGCAAAAGAAGGGGGAATGAAAAAAATATAAAATGAGACATGTATTGTTTATGTCAATCCGTACTCCTCTCTGTCCTAGGGGCTCTATCAGCAGTGCAATGTGCGCATGGGCTTCCATATACAGGGAGAGAGAAAAAAAAGGGGCGGGGGGGGAAAGAAGAGGGGGGCGAGGAGAGGGAAGGAAGGAGGGGGAAGCATGGTGGAGGGGGCAGGGAAGAAGAGGCTGCGTAGGGAAGAGATTGCGTGTATTAGTTCATTTAGGAGGGATGGTCTCCCTGTCTTCCCCTCCCCGCCTACTTCCGTTGGTCAGGCGGCTCTGTTGCAGTATGCTATCTCCACCGATTGATCCATCGCGCTTCCTCCCGCTGTTCCACCATCGTTCCGAGTAGTCGTGGTATCCCCACCAGTTATCATCAGTGTTCCATCCGTGCTTGGTGCATCTGGTTCTGGCTCCGCGTACAGGGTATCTCCGATCTTCACAATCCTCCCCCAGAAGTCTGATCCTGGGCCAAATAGCCCGCCGAATCCATAAAAGCAGCTGCCTCCAGAATCTCCGCCATAGTCCAGCGTAGCATCTATTGATGAAGCTACGTCCTCATAGTTGTTCTCACCACCGGCCTGAGCAGCCCAGTCTGCTTTCCAAGGAATGCCCCCTCCCCAGAAACTCCCCTTAGCCTCGTGTCACAATTAATCGTTCCTTCCTCCGATCGGGTGTCAAATCCCATTATCTCCCCCACCGCCACTCCTTCACACTCCACCATAAGCAAGACCCCAGCAATAGTTGTGATTTGTGGCATCGCAATCAGGATGTCCGCCATAGCGATGTTGTCGATGGGTATAGCAGGTTGCCCGGAGCTCCTCTGGGCTTCCCAGATGTTAGGCTTGGTAATCTTGATCAGGGTGGGACCCGCTTGCGGCCAGGGCAGGAAAATATCCGGATCAAGCTCCACTCTGAGTACCTCCGGAATACGTCGTCCCATCTCTAGCACCATGGTACCAAAGGAGTGGATCAGCTAATCTCGTGCCTGGCTACAACCAGACGGGGCACAGTCACTCCAGCTCTCTCAATCCGCTGTAGCGCCCCGCTTCAGACCTGCACGCATGTGTAAGTACCATCAACCAGGGTGACGATATAGCGAAGTGTTAGCGCAAGGGCAGAGAGAGTGGAGGATAATGGCCAATAGCCGGTTGTGTCTCCTCAGCTCCGCGATTTTCTCCTCCAGATGGCGCCGTTGTAGGTCACCTGTTAGTGCGTCTGCGAGAAGAAGCGCCCTGTGATTGTGCCAAAGGCTTCTGAAGTCGTTCGTAACTGCTTCGTGGTTGGTGCCCAATCTCCTCATGATGAGATTGGTCCAGAATCGTGGCGCTGAGTCCGGTTGATCAAAGCCAACCATTTCCTCCCTATCGTTGCGCAATATGGTGACGATGACCCGGTTGCTTCTCTCAATAAGGATTTCATAGGCATTGCGCAATTCCCTTTTCGATGTGGCCAGGCGGCGAGCATGTCTCCAGATTGCTTCCACGGTGATGTCCATGTTACCTGCTATCTATAGGGCAGGAGGAGCGTGGAGGAGGGGTCGGAGGGTGGAGGGGGTTAGCAGGGGAATAGAGGGCGAGAAGGAGGGAGAAGGGGGGATGAGTGGAAGGGAGGTGGGTGGGACGGATCCAGTTATAAGTCTGCCAGTGCGCGTATTACATATATATATATATATATATATACACCCATATCCGCTTCCGCATACGTATTCGTGCATGCATAATCGCACACCCATATATGTGCGTGTATGTGTTTTACAGCGGAGAGATTGTGTCCACATGTGTATATATATATATACATCAGAGCGCCTAAGTGAAACAAAAAGTCTAAACTCATTCCGAGTCTATGCGAACATATCCCTGTACATGCATGAGTGCTTGTGCCCACATCATCAGTGTGTATACAGAGGCGGGGCAGTGGTTATCCGGTTCCCTAGCACATATTCTTACGCTTCCTAGAGGCGCCACCCGCACTAGTGGTGCCATCAAGGTGATCATCAGTCACAGTTGTGGAGTGCTGGCTGCTGGTCACGCTCACCGGGCTTGAAGAAGAAGCAGCAACAACTCCCTAGGGAGTGGCTGCTATTCTGAATGAATTCAAGAGGGTCTGCTGTCGGGGTGACATCGGGCAGACCTTCTTGTTTCTCACACCAATGGGCGACCTGTTTTTCTTCTTCTTCGGGTTTGGTATCTCCGGGGCGGGGAGCCCCGGGGTGATCCGTGTAGGAAGGATCAGGTTGGCCAAGATCCTGGGGCAGGCATGTATTTTGAAGGTGCTGCCTGCAAGAGCATCAGCTGTCATGAGCCCAGGATTGCGCTCAAGATTGCGCAACACTGTGAGCATCATCTCCCTCATCCAGATGAATGTAACAGAGGCTTTAGCTAATTCCCTCCAGGAGGTATGTAAGTGGTGGAGGAGGAACGCAATCCTAACTCGGTTCGATCCCGCCTCTGGTTTCAAGATCTCCGGTTTCGCCATCAGGTACCAAATCGCTTGATCAAACCAGATAGGTCCACCATTGCAGGTGTGGGAATTCCTGTATCCGCATCTGCACTTGAGGTATGGGTGGCCCACATTCCATACTCTGCGGAGGTTCCTCAGATCCAGGCTAAGAAATGATGAGATCAACTTCTGCATAACCACTGGGTTAGCAAACACACATTTGGTAGGGTCGAGCACACTTAGGGTGGGGAAGGTGAGTTTGTCACCGAAGTGTGGGGTAGCGTTAGCATAGTCCAGCGTTCCTGCCAGTGCCTTCCTTCGACATTCCTCGACTTCGTTCTTCGACAGGTCAGCTAGGAATTTCCAACCTTTGACGTTGATCGGAGCCAGGTTATTAAACCCATTCCCCACCCATCCCCTATCCTGCTGTTGCCCCATCATACTCTCAAGCCACTGCGCAGAGCCAATGGGGACGAATCCGTTACTCCTGTTCCGGCTTGCTCCCTGCCCAGCTCCTCCCGGTGGAGGCGGGGGCAGGGGCTGGTTATCTAGGAGCTGCCTGAGTTCCTCCTCCTCCTCCCCCATTATCCCCATAAGTGCCCGATCATACCCATCGTTTTCAGCCTTTTCCTCTTCTACCTCAGGATCCTTCCCAACCTCCCAAATCTTCTTGAGGGTCTCCTCCAATCTAGTGGTCCTCCCCAATATCCCTTCCCTTTCCTTTTTCAGGTTCGCCTTCTTCTCCTCCGCTTTGGCTATGTGGCCACCCACGATGAGGTCGACGCGGTGCCTTTCATGCTCGTAGGACCAGGCAAGGTCAGCCCAGTCATTGAAGAGGAAGGTTTCTGTGATGAGAGGGAATAGGCCCTCCGTGACTTTTTGGCCAACCAAGGTTGTCACCGAAGGGTGGATGACATTAATCAGGGATTGGGTAGGTTTCGAGTACCGTCGTAACTCCGCAAGGAACGGATTCCTATCAACGGTCTCATCCCACCACCCGCCGGCCACGTTCCTATCATGCTGGGGTTCCTGCTCAGGATTAAGCCCAGAAGGTAAATCGTATCCAAGGGGGGAGGAGGATCAAGGAAGGGAGAGACGGGGAAGGGGTTCGATCATGGTTTAGCATAGGGTAGTGGTATGTGTTTTCATCATGAAGAACATGTAGACCCAAGCCATCACAACAACAAGCACAAGTGCGGTAAGTACGTCATTCCCGATGCATCAATAGGCCAAATTCCGAGTCGATCCGGTGGTCTTACTACAATACTTCACGTTGGTCTGATCCGGCTCCGTAGCGCAGCCATGGGAGTCGACCCATTGGCAGTAGCTAGAGGGGTGAGCCTCCATGTGTGTGTCCTATATATTCCCATGACGTGTTCGTCATGCACTCCACCTACATGGTGGTGCGCCAGGGTCCGGTCATATCCCAACAATACTGTTCCATAGCCACTCAACTTGATGTACCTTAATGTGGAAAGGATGGCTGCAGTGTCCACACGAACTTATTTCTTCGAAGCAATCAGAATATAAAAGCCCGTAAATATCTGTGTCAGAATGCAGTATTAATGAAAGGATCAAAGGTAATCATTACATATCTCTGGTTCATGATTAGAAGGAAAAAATCAGCGTGGGCAGGGTACGATCAAACATAAAGGGCCAAGCGGGAGGCGCTTGCATGATCAATCAGGGTTAAAGGAGGAGGCGTAGAGGGTTCTTCGGATACTCGAGGTTCAATTGAAAGCAAGGGGGACAGTGGACGACGGGAAGATTTATATCCAAAACCGGGGTCGAAAATATTCAGTAGTATACAGAGTCTAGGGATACTAAAGACAAGGTTCAATGGGCACGGAGGGGTACGATCATTAACAAGGAAATCATCACACCTCCATAGATCAGGTCAATCAGGGGAGATTCGATCGGGTTATGGTATACGTATAAAAGGTCAATCCAGGGCGCGTTCTGTCTCCAATTTGGGTGGGAGGGAGGGGAACGGAAAAAATGAATTTCATTACAGCGAGAAGATCCTACTCAGTTGAATCCAGAAGTATCCAAAAGTTTCACCAAAATGATTCTCAAGAGAAACAACTATTCTCAGGGTAAAGAGTAGACGAGAATTGATTCAATCAACACGGATGAAAAAAGGAATTCCCACTAAAGCGAGAAGATATCATTCAACCGAATCCAAACATTCTCCATAGTTTACCAAGATGATCGTAAAAAAACACAATCCCTAATATCAACCAGATGAACCGATGCCCAATCCACGGGCTTCGAGTTTAGGCTAGGCAGAACGTCTGGGAATAATAACTTACCGATGGGAGCTCGGTCGAACTTCATGGAAGGAATAACGCCGCAGGAGGGGTGTGGCTCCCCTAAAAGCTTTTTCGCCGTTGCCACTCAACCGGCTCATCAGAGGGGTTATAAACCTGCAAAACAGCACATCCATTTCACAGTCAGCCATATCCCTTTCCACACACATACACAGAGAAGATTAAGGACCATGTACCGCTTCTTCCGCTGCGATATCCTCCTCAGGTTCCGGCGTGATTGGTAGGTCCTCCTCCGCTCCAGTTCTGAACTCCGAGTCTGCCATCGCCGAAGCCTCGACCCGCTTCCAAGGTCCTGATCCACCGTAGTTGCACTAAGATAGATTCCGTATGATGCACCTAACCTATTCAGTTCTCGCACTTCAGGGATCCGCCCATCAAGCGCTTGCTACTCACCAGGGATAATGATCGCTATATATACTCAAGGGAAGACCTAACAGGGTACAGTCTGCCAGGGGAGGGAGATCAGTCGCATATCCGTGGTCATAAGCATACCCCCAGCATCATTAGTACCCGTGCGGCGGGTGTGTATCGTCGAGCTCCCCTGCCGAGGTATGATGGAATCAAAACCTATCCTAATCCATCTCTTCTTGGGGATCGCTAGTTAGTCGTCGGAGACACGGGAGATATCTCCGCGCCCCGGGTGACACCTAGTGGAGGGTTCCGTCAGTGCTTAAAGCTGAAAAACAACAA